AAAAAAAAAAAAAAAAAAAAAAAGAAAGAAAATTAGTTTGTGTGGGAATCGAACACACAACCACCAGGTTTGCTATTCATTTTCATTATCCACCATCAAATAAACTGCCTTAAAAAAAGTTTGTGTGGGAATGGAACACACAACAACCAGGTTGCCTATTCATTATCCACCATCAACTAAAAAAAAAAAAAATTTTTTAAAAAAAAATTGGTTCGTGTGGGAATTGAACACACAACCACCTGGTTTCCCGTAACATGATTGGTCTATTTTTTTTTAAATTTGCATAATGAATTTTTCAAAATTTTTTGTCTATTTAAAAAAAAGTACGTAAGTTATGAAGATGGTAACAATCAAAAATCTATTATAAATTTAATTCTACATTTTTAGACAAAAAAATTAACCTTCCTGGCCCACGGCCCGTTTTTGACACTATTACCATGCGTATTATTAACCTGCAGTGTATATATACAAAGAATTTTTTCTAGTAGGATCAGAGTTGACTAACTGGTACTTGGTGTGGGTTTATCGCATTTATGGTTTAGGGGCCGCGGTTTACCTCCCTCCGTTTAGTCATGCTAAATCAGGAGTAGTAAACTCGGCGATCATGGGTTCGATTCCCACACGGGGCAAATTTTTTTTTAAATATTTTTTATTTATTTATTTTTTGTGAAGGTCGTGGGTTCGATTCCTACACGAGCCAGTTTTTTTTTTTTTTTTTTTTTTTTTTAAGGAGTTTAGTTGATGGTAGATAATGAATAGCAAACATAGAGGTTGTGTGTTCGATTCCCACATGATCTTTGCGTGTATGCTGTAACCATGGCTGTGAATTGCGATTGTTACAGCATGCACGCAAAGATCGTACGCAGTGGATGCCCTACGCGGTGAATACCCTACGCGGCGCTATTTACACGATCTTTTGTAACATTTTCGCCAGTGACGTCATGGTAAAATCGTGTATAATCGCCTAAAACTTCATAAAAAATAGCCAAAAAACGATTTTAAGGTTTATAATTAATATCACTTTGTATGGACAGCGTATTAGAATTCATATATAATCGAATATTTGCGCGCATGTGTGCTCACGTAAATACCGTGCTCGCGTTAATTATTGGAATGAATTAGAATTTCTTTCAATTATCGTTAATTCGTCACATTTTAATTAACGAAGACTGGATACCCGACGTATTTTAATTAAAAATGTAAATTAACTAATAAATATGTGTTTTATTATGATATTCGTTCCCCTGAGATACCTGTCTCTTATACACATCTAGATGTGTATAAGAGACAGCTAAGTATAAAGCACAAATCAGATTCAAGTTTTTAAAGACATGTATATTAATTAGCATTGTGCAATTGTTTTACAGGGGATACGGTTTTATCGAGTATGATAAGGTGCAGTCTGCAGGTGATGCAATCAACTCCATGAACCTCTTTGACCTCGGTGGTCAGTACCTACGAGTCGGCAGGGTATGCCTCAATTATCTTTTGTCAATAATCTTTAAAACTTAATTAATTTTTTTATTCCAAATTTGCTTTCGCTGTTACTTATGTTTATATTTCAGTTTATTCAGTATTTGATTTGCATCAAATTTACAATAAAACAAATCTGTACCCTAAAAATACTCTGCAATCAATAACAAAATGATTATATTGTGTATTTCTAGGCAATAACACCACCAACACCAGCCCCAGCCGTTCCTTCAGGGCCAGGAGGCCTTCCTCCAGCTGCGGCTGTGGCTGCAGCCGCAGCAACTGCCAAGATCCAGGTACGTAGTTGAATAATTTAGTAATGAAAATCCTAAGTAGTGGCTAATGTTAACTACTTTATCTATTAACACATTAATTTCCACAACACCATATGGCTATACAGAGGTTTCTGGACATCAAAAAAAAAATTGCAATAAAATTACCATCAACTTGAAAATTGAACATAAAAGGAAAATATAAACATACATATTACTTGTTAATCAGTTCTTTAGTAGTGCTTTTTTTTTTGGTTACTTAGCACTAAAAGGTGGAATCCATAATCAGTTTATTATTTATAGGATAGAGGCTGTGGCTGGCATGTCAACATCACTCTACAAAAATTGTTAAATCTGTAACCTATTTCTTTTACTTCCTTTACTAGGCACTGGATGCGGTGACTGGCCTATCTACATCTCTATCTGTTACAGGATCAGCAGGCCTTGGTCTGGCAGCCCCTCCACCACCTGTCTCTTATACACATCTTTCATCAGAAAAATAAGTCACTTGCGGGGGGAAGTGGTATATGTAAATGTCACTTGCAAAAATAATGTTAATGTAATATTGACGTTTTAATAATGAATGCTGTTGAGAAAGTTCTTTCATCATTTGTCATTTTTGTTTTGCTAAGCTATCGAAAGGTAGAGGCAAACCACAAAATTGTACAATTATTTGTGATCCAGAAAAATCGGAAACTTCAGTTGTGTTGAATGCACTAGAGAAATCCACATAAGTTGACCTGAATCTCAAGATGATTCAACGTTTTCTGGAAGTAGATTTATTATAATTTTAAAGAAAAATATTTTAGATTAAACAGGTATATAAAAAGCTTAACAGGACCATCTATTTAACTGTAGAACGAAAGTTGAAAAACACCCCTATATGGGATGCTTTTTTGGCCACAAAACAAGGGAAAGTTATAGGGATCAGTCTTCCAAAAATCGGTACACTAAAGCCTCCCGCACCCCCGCTAGCAACTCTTCTCCCGGAAATTAACCCATCTCGGCAAATTCATAATACAGTATAATTTGCGTTTTTCACAGTACTATCAATTGTCTCATGGAAGTAAGAGCTGTAAAATGGGTTAACTTTTAAGAAAATTGGTCCACATTATTTGAATTTACGCGTCAAGCGGGTCCACCCTGATATTGTCCTGACATTTTTAGGAAATATGTACCTCTAGATGCATGGGCGTCTAGATGGTGGGGACAGGGGGACGCGTCCCCCCACTTTTCAAAGTAGGGGGACATCATATCGATTGTTCTCTTCCCCCCCCCCCACTTTTCACCAATCTTCTATAATTAAATCCCCACTTTTAAAAGCGAATGGAAAGAATAACAATTACGCATGACGCATGTACGTATTTTCCGGACCAAAACCGAGTAAAAACGCAATTGTTTATACATTTCGTAACCATAAACCTCTAGATCGATTTTATGGGTGCAACGGTTATCAGAGGCTAAATTTATTGTGAAAACAATGTACT